ATTCGTCTGTGCGTAGTGGCTCTTGATGCACTGACGCCAGCCTCAGCCCCCAAATACTTGAATGGATTTTGCCTGACAATCCTCTCAAGGCTGTGGTTATCCCTTTTGCTGGTGCACCTTTTCCTACCACACTTTTTCCTTCCACTCAACTTCTTATGAATATGCTTGGATACAGCACTCTGAACAACCAGCTTCTTTAGCAATTAACTTGTGGCTTACTCTCCTTGTGGAGGGTGTCAATGATTGTCTTCTGGACAACTGTCAAGTCAGCAGTCTTCCCCATGATTGTGTAGCCTACTGACCCAGACTGAGAGACCATTTAAAGGCTCAGGAAACCTTTGCAGGTGTTTTGAGGTAATTAGCTGATTAGGGTGTGACACCATGACTTTCCAATATTGAACTTTCCCAATATTCTAATTTTCTGAGACACTGAATTGTGTTTTCATTATCTGTAAGACATAATCATCAGAATTTCAAGAAATAAAGGCTTGAAATATTTCACTGTGTGTGTAATGAATCTATATAATATATGGGTTTCACTTTCTGAAATGAGTGACAAAATATTGACCTTTTTCATGATATTCTATTTTTTGAAATGTACCTGTAGAACGTGGTCGGACATTATGCAAATGTGTTACTTTGTGACGTAGAGCCGTAGCAGAACAAGATTAGAATTCCTGACGACTCATTTAGGCGATTGAGAGCAGACTTTTCTTTTTTGATAGACAATAACTTTGTGCACTGTAAGCTTCACAACTTTGCAGATAGTTTATGTTCACATACAGCTACATGACACTGCATGAAAGGTAATAGTTGAAAAAGCATAATGGGGGACTTTAAAGAACAGCACTTATTCAAAATGGTAAGGACTTACATTGTTACAAAAGATTTATCAATTTAAAATATCCTTGCTTAACATAAGTATTAATTTCTTAAAAATAAAATACTGACCCCAAACATTTGAACAGTAGTGTATATTTTGTTACTTTTGAACAGCAGTGTATGTTTATTAGATCCTGCTTTTCAGATGACATCAATAGGACTCCTAAGCAATGATGCAAATTCGTAATCAGTCAATCTACGAGTTACACGACGATTGGACAAATGCAGTAAAAGTTTAGACTTATGTTCAACAGAAGGAAGAAATTCACACATGTTTGGAACAACTTGAGTACATTTCAGTAGATGATTTCAACTGACAATTTTAATTTGGTGAACTATCGCTTAAGTAATTACCTAATGCATTCAAAAAGGTAGGGGTACTCAGATCAGGATTTTTGAGGCCAATCAGCAGTATCTGCTGATACCGATCTTTTTAAAGCCTTCTTTTTATCATTTATAACCATCTATAGTGATACTCCAATCAGGATTTTTAGACATTTATTCAGGGCCTGAATTTCATTTTTGAAAATGGGAGAAATTCCCCTCTTAGGCGACTCTTGTGAGAAGGGAAACAGCTTTCACACATGAGTCTGCTACTGATCCATGGCCATTTACCACAAACACAACATTTATCCATTATTTTGATTTCAAATCCAAACATTGTCACTGAAAAGGCTTTTTCAGCATTGCAATTCTTTTTTTATTTTATTTTTATTTAACAAAGTACAGTAATACAATCTTTCACAGACATGTTTAAACGATAAATATAAGCAACATTATTCAATGCTTTTTACTTCTGCATTTACTTCTAGATTTATATATTAAGTTGCTCAGCAAGTGGCAAAACATTTAAACTACTTTTATGATATCACAAACTTACCATTGACCGAACTAGTCAGCTCTACTGCCTTTCCTTTTGCATTTAAATCTTTATTACAAGCAATCCTGTGGTTCATAAAGAACTTTGTTTTCCTACCTCCACCAGTGCCATCTATTATTGCCTTCATCTAAAAGTGCTCTTTAAACCTAGCCAAAAAGCCATGTGTTGACTGAAACACAGTAGACTTTAATTATATGCATTTATGGTGTAATGACTACATTTTCGTTTCAATCCATGTTCATATTCACTGCAAACAATGCGCGGTTACTTTAATTCAGCACTTGAAGCGCAGCAAACAGACTCGGTACGAAAACAATCTCTGCACTGCTGCAGACACACCACTCCTGAACGCACTGCCGGACCGCAACAGTGTGCACGCTTTAATCCGTTAACATGAGCGTGGAAAAAATATGCACCACGTATTAGGGATGGGCGATATGGGCTTAAAAATATATCACGATAATTTCTGATATTTATTGCGATAACGATATCAATGACGATAATTTAGGGAATCCCGTTTCTTTAGAGAAAAGTATTATCTTTCCTATTTTTACCCAAAATAGGGTGTTGTGAGCATTACGGAGTACACAATGTAATGACTGTTTAATTCACACTGGAAGCCGGAGGGCGCCCTTGCGCAGGAACTCCACATATGCATAGTAGAAGTAATGCTCCAGGAAGAAGTATCCAGTGATCGCTGTAGCTGAATAAAACGCAGATAGAGAAATTTTAACTGAGGAATCCTGAAGACAAACATGCGATTGCACAAAATATATGGTATCGGTGTTCAAGCAATCTTGGGTATTTTCTTTTATAAGGATAGAGTATATTTATAATGCAATGCTAATCGACATAGCCTTTATCACTGTATATAATGCTATAAAATAGTATGATTTCTGCTTTATTCTGTGATACGAAACCACGTCTGATCACAAAAATAAGATTTAAAACACTCGACTGTTATGAAGTTAATATGGAGAAAAAGCATGTCAATAAATTAAAATATCTTTGTTGGACAGCAGGTTTGTAAACGACTCATACACATGTAAAACTGTCGCCGCACATGTGCTGCTGTAGTACATTTACAGCCCTATCCAAACCTGTTCCAGATTGTAGAAGGAGCTGCTCAATTTCACGTCCGCCTTCCTTCACGTCACTCCACACAGTCGCACACAGAAATATGTCAACTAGACTTTATCGTTATTATCGCAGGAAGACGAATTGTTATCGTGTGGAGAATGTTTACCGGTATATCGCAAACGATAAGATACCGCCCATCCCTACCACGTATGCACTGCAAACGGAATGTGAACTTGGCATTATGAGTGCGCTGTGAGTGTGCATGAGCGCGCACCGTCTCCAGGAGAGCGCGTGAGCGCTGAATGATTAAAAAGTAATGCAATTTATAAACTTTAGTGACGATGTGACACTGCCTCGATTGTGCATGCCTTCTTAGAGACTGCCGATCAAACATCCCAACGTGATTATCGGCGGATAGTGATTGGTAGCAGATCAATCGGAGCACCCCCATTCAAAGGTCAAGGGGGAGATCTGCTGTCTGCTTGAACCAGCAAACCAAATACATTTCATGGTCGAGCAAAGACCAATAATAGCAACAGCAGTGTTGCCAGATGAGACTATCACAAGTGCAGCAAGATCATGTTACTATGGCTGCACTGAGGACATGAAAAATTATGGACTCTTATGGATTACAATCTAAATAGCCTCAAGAGCCTGATATTGAGTTGACAATGTTATCACCTCCTTGCGAGTTTAATTTAGGAAAGATGAAAAAGCCTGTGATTGTTTTGATCCCTTGTGATGTCAAATAGTACTATATAGTTTAATACAACTACCCAGGGCCGCAAACAACAATTCTTGGGCATGGTACAGAACCAACATAGAGGGCCCAACTTCTGAAATCACACTCACTTTCCGGGCCACCATTCGAGCCTGGGACATGGCAACCCTGCAACTAATAGGTGTGTGACAATACACTTAGCTCACGAGACAAGATTTAACACTATTTTTAAGAAATCATCTTTTATCTGACTGAAAGGCACACAATGCAATTGTGGAAAATGGCGGACTTTGAAAATGACCTTGCAATGAAAGTCGCTTCAGTTCTACTTTGTGCATGAATCATCAGATACAGTAAAAGACCAATATCCAAACACTGACTGGCTTCCCTCCTGTATGATTTCACATGAGTTTTGTCAGACCTTATAACTGTGCATGAACCATTGAACAAATTACACCCCAAAAGATCATTTAAAATCATTGTATTAGACAACTAAAGAATTAAATACAGTACAAAAAGCAGCCTTAGAAATATTTTGGTTCAACACTGAATAATGTTAAAAAAGTGCATTTAAAAAAAATTGTGAAATATGAAATGCTTAAAAAAAACAAATCCAGTAGTTGGCAGCTAGTCACTGACTTAAAGGGATAGTTCACCCAAAAATGAAAATTTGATGTTTATCTGCTTACCCCCAGGGCATCCAAGACTTTGTTTCTTCAGTAGAACACATCTATCAGTCATATAATGCATGGCAATGGTAACAAAATCTATGAGTAAAAAAAAAAAAAAGCACTGACATTTCCAAATTAAACCCTGCGGCTTTTGACGACACATTGATGTCTTAAGACACGAAACGATCGGTTTGTGCCAGAAACCGAACAGTATTTATATCATTTTTTACCTCTAATACACCACTATGTCCAACTGTCTTTGGGCGTGCGCACGGCATCCTGTGTGTGAGGCGTGTACGCGCTCTGGCGTAGTTTACGCAAGCGCCGGAAGTGATCTCTCGTGCGTATACGTCACTCATTGTTTACGCGGTGCACAAACATTGTAGGTATGACGGCTAATCAAAATGGTATTTGTGCTTATCCGGATTGTTCAAACCGACTTAACTAAAAGATTACGTTCTCTCGCGCGAACTCATTCGGGAGTGGTGACTTTCCACGTATTCCCAACTTCTGAGCCTGCTCGCCTGAAGTTATGGTTGATTGCTCTTCAGCTGGATATCAACACACCCATTAACGTAAACCACACCAGAGCACGTACACACCTCACGCACCGGATGCCGTGCGTGCGCCCAAAGACAGTTGGACATAGTATTTATATCATTTTTTTTACCTCTAATACACCACTGTTCGGTTTCTGGCACAAATCGATCATTTCGTGTCTTAGGACATCAATGTGTCGTCACGAGCTGCAGGGCTTAATTTGGATTTGTCTGTGCATGTTTTTTTTTACTCTCATAGATTTTGTTACTATTGCCATGCATTATACAACTGATAGACTGCAACAGGTGGACTTAAAAATCATCATGTGTGTTCTACTGAAGAAACAAAGTCACCTACATCTTGGATGCCCTGGGGGTAAGCAGATAAACATCAAATTTTCATTTTTGGGTGAACTATCCCTTTAATCTACAAGTTACTCAGTCATTCATTCAACCTTTGTTCAAACAGATTGTTTCAGGAACAAAGCAAGTGACTCTTTATGAATGACTCACTAAATCATTGGCTCACTTGATTCATTCAGTAACAAAACACCGCTGTGTTGATCAGAGATGCACAACAGTTCTGCTGTGGCATTGTTTGGAACAGCTTTTCACCTTGAGAAATATTGTTATGTTTTAATATCACTATTTTGTAGCATGAGATCTCGTCACACTCCAAGCTACTACCCATTAATAACAACAAGTTAGAAGCAAATATTAAGTAGTCATCTGAAATGTAGTCAAAAGTGTTACACAGTAGAGAACATATGTACCTTCTTAAAAAGAACAACACCATCCTTGGCAACTTCAAACTTTGAAATGACTGCATCATCTGAGGTGATGCCAAAGGGGATGTCATCCACAGCCTCTGCGGTTTTAATGAAGGCCTTGGCATCTGCTGATTCAACATCCTGCAGAGACAGAAAAATAATTATATATATACACACACATATATACATTATATAAAAAAAACTAAACTAGCTGATGAAAAGAATGACATTTTACCTTAAAGAATCCAATGACTGCAACCTCATTATCAGCAATAAGAGACTCTGCCTGTGTCACATCATTTAAAGTAGTGGCTGCAGGGCCAGTTCGCTTTTTCAGCCAGTTGACAATGTCATCAGCCTGTCGGCCAGCTGTAGACAGAGCACGAGCATGTCATAGTGGGACAAAATAACCTTGTAGAACCTTCATTTGGAAATCAACATGTGACCTTGGTGTTCTAATTCCTTGTTCTACTGTTTGAGCTACAGAAATAATACACTGATAATTAAACAAAATGAAACAAACAAACGTTTATTATATAAAGCTATTAAATACAGATTAAATGTATCTTAAGTGCTTCTTCCATGTATCCTCATCCATCTATGATCCTTTATGACTACAGGGCAGGACTGACATCAATGCGAATGACATGTCAGTTTCAAAGGTAGTACTAATTATGTTCTTTTTAAACGAGTGAAGAGTGAGCAACACAGGTTACAGCAGGAACTACTTATGCGACACGTCAACAATTAAACTGCAGTTCATATGAGAACACCTGACGACATGATAAGAGTCCTTCCATCAAGGATAAGACAAAGATTAAAATTATGGAATTGTGTAATCCCACAAGGAATCTGAAAAGTGTGTGAAATTAATTAATTTTTTTTATTAAACCTTAAGACTCTTGAAAGTCCTGGAACTTACATTTGCTGAGGCTGGTCTGGTTTGCAGGAGTGCAACAGTAATAAACACAGCCATGGAGAGCAGCCTACAGCAACCAGACCACAGGCAACGTGAGGAACTGCACGTTGAAGGAAAGGGGGAGGGGCCTTATACAAACAGCCTGGAAGGCAGGGCTTCCACGTACAGAAAGACATGCACGTCTTCAGCAGTTAGCACTTACATTCATGGTATGTAGACTACTGTAGACTACCGGTCTAAACTGAAATATGGTTTACAGTATAAAATGGCATAAATACAGCTCAGTTACACTTAAGCGATTCCAACCAAATCAAACCAGTTACAACTGTTTGTACACTCACTGACTTTCTTCTATCTGGTTTTGTTTAAAATGATAATGATTTTGTTAAAGTAGTAAAAGTTTTTTTTTTTTTTACACAAAAGTAAAAGTCAAAAGCTGAAGACAGTCTAGTAGTCCATACACAAAGAAGGATCATGGATATTATGTAGGAAAATTGCGGCTGATATCTCTCACCAGAATACTCCTTGGGGTTCTCCTTCTCTCCTCCCTTGAAGAACTTGATGGTGGGATATCCGCGAACACCAAACTCCTGAGCAAGCTCAGATTCCTCTGTTGCATCCACCTTAGCAAGTCTGATGTCTGTACCTTCAGCTTTCAGCATACCTGCTGCTTTAGCATATTCGGGGACCAGGGCCTTGCAGTGCCCACACCAAGGTGCATCTGCAATAAGCAAAACATTTTATTTATTTTTTTTATAAATCTGACATTTACAGTCACTGCATTTAAAGTCACTAACATTCATTTACTCACAAACCACATTAGCAGTAATTTGTCTGAATGAATGTGTTAAATGTGACATATTATGCCCCTTTTTACAATGTAATAGAAGTCTCAGGGGTCCCCAGAATGTAACTGACGTTTTAGCTCAAAACACCCCACAGATCATTATATCATTTTGAGTGGATGCAGAAACACGCTGTATTAGAGCATGTCTCTTTAAATGCAAATGAGCTGCTGTTCCCCGCCCCCTTTTCCAGAATAGAGCTGCACCATTACCTGCTAAAAACATCTGTTTTGGTTCTGATTATCAGGTTTAATCGCACTAAAATCATGCATTTTAAACCATATTAGTTTAAACTTCTGATATACGTTTTTTTGAGAGCACACATCGAAAGCACACGGCCAGAAAGGGGCTGTGGCTAGCATGCGAGTACTAAACTAAGTTCTCATTCACACACAAGTTTACATTAAAAACACGCATAATATCCAAAAACAGTCGGTTATGACTGTTAAGGTAAACAGCTGGGAAATAAAATTGCATGTTTATTTTAGATCTGTGTGGCAGCAGCAATATACAGTAAATTAATCAAATCCACAGCTCTCGTTTGCTCGTCTGTGCAGCCGAAGGCAGAACATTTAGCATGTTTAGCTCAAACTTTCACCATGGCATTAGAACTGGTACACCGTTGTCACTTGTGAAATCAAAATGATGGCGCCATGGGTGGAAACTTACAGATTAAGGGGCAGTAATATTATAATGAGATCCCTTTACAACTTCACTAGGGGAGTGAGATCAGACTCTTGCAGAAAAAAGCTTATCAAAACAAAGTTACATACACATATATATATACATATGCACCGGGGTCCTGATTATAGCACTTAAAATCTGGAAAAGTCCGATTTTCATGATAAGTCACCTTTAATGGTGTTTGACTAAAAAGCATGTTGTTTTATTTGGGTATTCAAACCCAGTAAAATTGGATAAATTAAATAAGTAGGTCAAACTTATTACCCTAATCTTCCTCAACACATCATCTCACAACATGGCCTGTTATTAGGGTCAAGTCCAAAGTTCATAGAGCTAATAAAAATCCACATATGCATCATACTCCTTTTTCAATCTTTACCAAATAAAAACACAAATGAATGACTACAGTTTAAGCTTTGATTACATTGTTCACATGAGAAGTGTTTTTAAATTCCACAAATTCAATGTGCATCAAAAGTTATTTTACTGAATGTACACGTCAACCTAGCGCAGGGCTGCTTGAAAGTCCTGGCCATATTACACGCTGTCACGTCTCCCATTATGACGAAACACTCGTGGACGCCAGTGATTGGCCAACTTGAGAGTCTATCAGGTCCCTGTATCAGGAAATACTTTGAGAGCGTCCAATGAATTTAGCCCAGTAAAGCGCAAATAAACTAACCCAGGAGCCCGGTTACACATAAGTTTGAGAAGTCTTTTCAGGTTGGAAACTCATTCATGCTTGCCCATAACATGCTGCATCTCATTTGCATTAAGTGGTGAAACCGAAAAACAAGTGAAAGTGCAAATCAATGCTTTGCATTTGTTTATCTATTTTAAACACTGAAGCAACTCAAAGCTACCGTTCCAAGGCTGCTGTCGCCCTAAATACGGACTCACAAATCTACCAACTTGAATCGAATGCATTATCCGTAAAAGGATTCATTGTAACTTACTATTTTTGTCAAAATAGTGCGTTTTGGTGCTAACGTTAGTGGCAAAGACGTCTTCAAATCTCTACATTGGGACCACTTCTCTGAACGCTTACAAAATTGCGTTCTTTTTTATATAATAATTCAGATTTGGTTAGCAAATGTCTGCTCCTTAAGTCACGACTGCATGAGATTACGTATTGCTGCAGCAAATCAAGACTAAGAATAAAAAACAAACTGCCATTTCACTGAGAGTTGGTTTCGTTTGGCATTTTCCTCATGCACAAGCTATCGACATAAACACAGCAACGACGAGTCAAACAACATGGGCGACTACTTACAAAACTCAACAAGGATATTTGGGTAAGTTTTGAGCGCCTCCTCGAAGTTACTTTTCTTCAGTACGAGCACGTCCTCTTCTTCGGGGATATCAGCCGCGCTAATAGCGGCCAGTGCGCACACAATCAACAACTTCAGCATCTCGGATCACCTCCAAACGAGTCAACTATTGCTAAAACAGTGATGGAAACCGGGGAGACTGTTAGCGCGGCGGGTCTTCTTTCACCTTTAACAGTCTGAAGTATCGCTTGAATGTTGTGCCTGCCGCTAATAACGTGGCAATGTGTGCAGGAAACAGAGAGGACAGCGCTGCTGCGCATGCGCATTTATGAGGCTGAAGGCAGTTCGTGTTGAATTGTGAGTGGACCGCGCGTCTCCTAGCACCTGGAAGTGAATCTGCCAGTCTCGAATACGAATTTACAAATCCTACTACGGCGAATGCTTGGCTCATGAATATTATTTACGCAACGTCACGTTCCGCCTCTAGCACTGTCTGAGAAAGGCAGACGTCGCTACGTGATGGCCTGTCAACTGGCGAATTAACTGGGCTTATTGATATTAATTTGACTGCGTGACTGAACACTCAGGAACGAACGCGAGCATATTCTATTTAATATGCATGTACCAATCCCTGAACAATAGTAGGATCCGTAATTTCTATTTAGGGTTTCTTTGCATGTTTGAGGCTGTATTAAGGAGACACCCTAACTCAAAATACTATCCTATCCGTTTAGTAACCATGGTCATATTAATACAACTTTATCAAGTCACGAATTAAAATGCATGGCGTTATTGTAAAACATAACAGTCAAGATTAAAGTAATCAATACACCTAAATTTGCAATATCCAACTTTAGAGATTTGTCATTATATGAAAGGAGAGATAAGAAGATATTCTTATATACTGTCGCGCCAACACACAGACTAAAGATTTGCATGCTGTTAATTGTGCTAAACACTGGATAGAAGAATGAACTGATACAGGAAATGGCCCACTATCACTTTCACAGCAGACTTTCTGTGGTTATACACTATGAATCATATAGTATGTTATGTTCAGTTGGTTTGCATCACACATTATATGATATATACGTTTGAAATAGTTTGCAGACGTCTTGTGATAAAAGTCCAAATGCATTAACCTCAGTATGTTATCATTATATCTTGATAAAATAAGCATGATTTGCAAATTAAATTAATAATAGCATATAATATATCTCACACAGTCTGATTTGAGAAGAGATAGATAACTCTTATGCATTTAATAAATTCAGTGATGTCACAATCAGTCAGTGATGTCATGCCATAAACCTAAAAAGAAAGAAAGAAAGGTATTTTAAGACCACAAACAGAAAACACAGTGCAGGCTCTTTGCAACTGGAATTCAGTTTCATCAAAACTGATGATGATGATGATAGACCAGAGAAATAAATTATTATAGAAATAAATGATGATGATAGACCAGGACTATTTTTTAGGGATGCATGATATATCGGCCACCATATCGGTATCGGCCGATAAATGCTAATTTTTTCTGTTATCGGTATCGGCCTGATAAGAAAATTTGGCCGATATCTTAAAGCCGATAAATAATGCATTATTCTTCTTCTGTTGCTATTATCAAGAATTGCTGTGACCCCACTAATTTTGATATATAGCTAACTTTACAATGACAATGAAACAATACTACTCATATAAGCTGACTGTTTTTCAGACGGTTTTCTGCTCTAGAGAAACATTCACAAATCGACAGAGTAATTATCAGCAAACTGTATGGTGAGATCTTGTTGGCTTAGAGGTGTTAGTAACAGGAAGTAACACTAGCTCTGTTTGGTTAACAAATAATTGTCAGCTAAGGAAAACAAATGCTTTGTTTAATTTACATGGCAATAGGGAAAATATTTCATTCAGCATTGTAAACTTGTGACAAATGTAGTGTTTTGAAAGATTAAGAAAAAATCTGTTCCATTAATATTGCAGTTCCTGATTCACTTAGCATGTCATCATAATAAAAGGACCTGATCATCTCTCGCTTGCTATTTAAACACAGTCATAGCAGAGACATAGAAATTCAGTTAAAGGGGTCATATGATGCGATTTCAATTTTTCCTTTCTCTTTGGAGTGTTATAAGCTCTTGGTGCATAAAGAAGATCTGTAAAGTTGCAAAGACTAAAGTCTCAAAACCAAAGAGATATTCTTTATAAAAGTTAAGAGTCAACCACACCTAAAATGGCTCGTTCTAACACGCCCCCACATGTCTACATCACTATGTGGGAAGATTTGCATAACACCGACCAAATGTTCACGCAAAGAACGAAGGCGTAACTTTTATTCTCGCTGTAGTATTGTTGCTGCCGCCATGTCTTGAAGACACTGTGTTTCGTTGTGAAAGCGAAACTACTTTGTTTGGCCTTCCAAAAGAGGACGATATCCGCTTCGTCATCCCTAGAACTGATCCGTGCTGGTCGCTGAGGAAATACATCAACTTCGCACTGTGGATCGCCGGATCATCTTTCACTGAGTCCAGCCCGGGGTCGTCACATGTGGTTGCCGCTCCTTCGTCGAATCCGCCAGCAAGCCGCTCACTCTAGCCCGGCCGTTGCTCAATCTAGCCACCGGCCGCCGCTTACTCTAGCCCGCAGGCCTCCGCCTACTCAAGGCCGCCGTGTGTGATGCTATGTTTCGTTGTGAAAGCGAAACTACTTTGTTTGGCCTTCCAAAAGAGGACACGACTAGAAATCAGTGGTTAAGTTGTATTTACAACACTGTTCCAGAACAGCTCAACCCAAATATTCAGATGTGTGCAGCACATTTTATGAAGGACTGTTTCCTGATCCTGGTAGACTACAATGCCGGCTGTTCTGACTCACAGTCTGTAAGTACTTTTTATTTTTTTGCCACTGACGATTCAAAGGCGACTTTTGAGCAGTGTACACTGTAAAAAATGATATGATGAAAAAGCCATGACAACTTATGTTGCTTTAAGTTGCTTTAACTCATAAAAATAATTTAAGCAATTTCAACTTTTTTTAATAAGTTATACTAGATTCAACTTGATTTTTTAAGTCAGTTTAATGTTACTGAAATTCAAGGAGCCCAATTTAGTTCAGTGAACTTAACATTTTAAGTTGTAGCTTATTGGCACTAACCGGCCAAATCTTTGAACATGGATTCATGCGCAGGAGTCAAATTTGTACATTAATTTAATATCAAGTCCTTTCCGAGAAAAAAAAATAATTCAGCAAATCAAGACATTATACTCGTGTTTGAAACATGAGACATCGCAGTGCAACATCAAACAAGGAGACACGGGCGGACTATACAGCGAACTAACTAAACCGCGGAGGAATTTCAGACGAACAATTTATGAACTTGAGGAAGCTGTCCGTTGGGCTGGCGCGAAGAAGCATATTCAACGTGGATGAGGTGAGTGAATGCTTGTGTAACATAAGTTTTGGAAGATTATTGTTCATTTTAGCAGAATAGAGCAGAATTAGTTATGTTCTGTCATTGTTTTCCGAACTGTGTTCAATTTGAGCGATTATAGGTGTATTTTATCGTTAAAGTGGGTAACAGTTGGCTTTGCTGAGCAGGCTCGGCATTTTCGCGCCCACTGGAAGTTTATCCCAGTCAGACTTCGTGCGTTTGAGTTGGTATTCGTTACGGTTTATTATTATTAATTTTTTATCAACCGTTCAAGCTAGGATAATATAAGTTAACTTGAGGTAGACGACGCCGAGCTGTTTTCTACGACGCATGAACTAATCGTCACCAGTTTTGTCAGTTTGTTCTATTCAAACTAGATGAACATATGAAACTTATTAATATGATTTAAGAGACCACGATTCAAACAATTGTTAACTTTGTTCATTTGTGACTACTTTTTTAGAAAGACGTTTTTGTCAGCCGAACAACCGACATGTTAAACGTTACATTCAGTTGGACGCACTAACGTTACATCTGTTCCTCACAAGCTCGTTTTCTGTGCCATTTGTTATTTTATTGGCCATCATCATATATTTTATATATAATTTTGTTTTACGATTGCAAATTGCTTACTGGTAACAGATTACAGGTAACAATAAATGCAAACAAATGCATTATGTCATTAGGTCATATTTTAATCATGAACAAAAAGTCTGTAAAAGTGTTGTGTAACTTACATATTTGGGCTTAACTGTAATTAGCAAGTAACCAACAATTTCCCGTTTACCTCACTTTGTAGGCTATGGCTGAGCACATTACAGTATTACAGATTATAATGACTTGTACTGTCTTTTTACGTGTTGCGTTGCATCGTGCCACGTAAACAAAACCATGTCTGCATTTGTGAGCAGAAATGACAAACAAGCACTAACGTTACTCTACACTGCTCAAAATTCGCGTTTGAATCATCAGTGGCGAATCCTTTAAATTAAAACGTACTTACAGACTGTAAGTCAGAACAGCCGGCGGCGGGCCAGCGTGAGCTGAGCAGCACTAAGTTGATGTATTTCCTCAGCGACCAGCACGGATCAGCTCTAGGCATGACGAAGCTGATATCGTCCTCTTTTGGAAGACCAAACAAAGTAGTTTCGCTTTCACAATGCAGCACACAGCGTCTCCACGAAATGGCGGTAGCAACAATACTACAGCGAGAATAAAAGTTACGCCGCCTTTCTTTCCGTGAACATTTGGGCGGTGTTATGTAAATCTGCCCACATAGTGACGTAGATATGTGGGGGCGTGTTAGAACGAGCCGTTTTAGGTAGGTGTGGTTGACTCTTAACTTTTATAAAGAATATCTCTTTGGGTTTGAGACTTTAGTCTTTGCAACTTTACAGATCTTCTTTATGCACCAAGAGCTTGTAACACTCCAAAGAGAAAGGAAAAATTGAAATCGCATCATATGACCCCTTTAAAGGAATAGGAAATGTCTTTGCTTGTGTTGTTTACAAGTAAATTTAAGTTGAATTAATTTTTTTTTTTTTTTTACAGGCACACGCTTGTGAGTCTGATACTGGATGAAGGGTGAATTTTGCATTTCTGTACTAAATAAATAATATAAACCATATCTTAAGATAAGTCAATATTTGAACCACTGTAAAGTTTTTTTTTTCCTCCCTACATTATATTTTTTTTTGCAGGCATTGTTTGTCTGTGAGTCTGAGACTGGATGAGGGGTAAGTTTTGCATTTCTGTACCAAATAAAGAGTATAAACTTTATCTTAAAATAAGTCAATATTTGAACCACTTTAAAGTTGTTGTTTTTTTCCCCTTACATATGTATTTCTCTTTTTATAGGCAAACATTTGACTGTGAGTCTGAGACTTGATGAAGGGTAAGTTTTGCATTTATGTACTAAATAAATAATATAAACCATATCTTAAGATAAGCCAACATTTCAACGACTTCTGATTTTTCCCCCTACATTTCTATCATTAGACAGCTGAGTTCGATCGGTGTCCGGGTCATAGGGTGGAAGATGTAGGAGCGAGGAAACGATTTCGCTGCGATTGGAGATATAGATCAAAATTCTGTCAGTGTGGTTTGGCCTATTAAATGGGTAGTTCACCCAAAAATGAAAATTCTGTCATTAATTACTCACTCTCATGTCGTTCCACACCTGTAAGACCTTTGTTCATCTTCAGAACACAAACAAAAATATTTTTGATGAAATCTGAGGGCTCCCCCATTGAAAGCAACGCAACTAAAACATTCAAGGTCCAGAACGGTGGTTTAACCTCAATTTTATGAAGCAACCCGAGTGCTGTTTGTCCAAAAAAAAATTATACTCCACTTTATTTACAATAAAATATTATTCAAAGCTTGTTCATGCTACAATGTTAACTCTAGCGTGAACACAACATACATGCGTCATGATGCTCTTATGTGCGTGTGTGGTAGATCAATATTTTTAGAAAATAAAGCGGTAAAATTAGTTTTTTGCACAAACAAAGCACGTGCATTGCTTCATAAAATTGAGGTTAAACCAGAGGAGTCACATGGATTACTTTAATGACGTCTTTCTACCATTGTGGACCTTGAATGTTTTAGTTGCGTTGCTGCCAATGGAGGGTCAGAAAGCGCTCGAATTTCATCAAAAATATCCTCATTTGTGTTCTGATGATGAACAAAGGTCTTATGGGTTTGAAATTATATGAGGGTGAGTAATTGATGACAGAATTTTCATTTTTGATTGAACAAACCCTTTATGACATTGTACATGTATTTACACAGTTTTTGTTTTGTCTGTTGCCACCTCATCGCTTACATTTATTGTGGTCAGAAAGCCAAACCTCTCTCACACCTCATCAGAAATCTACCATCATGTTTGCTACTATTTATTAACTTGGTGAAATGTTTGCTGCTATAGTGCTTGTAAAGCGCGGTCACCAAAGAGTGAAAAATGTAAGGGGTTCTGAATACTTTCCGTACCCACTGTATATGTGTTTTTTTTCAAGCTTATCTCAGTGGTTGTTTCCCATGAGGTATGAGTGTATTTTCAGCTTTGTATGACAGTTTCTTGGCAGTTTTTTGCTACTTTTGTGTCCTTGTTGTATACATATACTGGTATTCACACATTAGCATGCACAGGCAGGTTGTGTACTGTTCTTAATATTAAAACCCTGTTCTGCAAGAAAAAAAATTATTTTAAATGTTTCAAACAAATGTAGTATTTTTTTTATCTGGATCTAAAATAAAGTTTACATTATCATAACTAGAAAATTAATGTTAAAAATTTTGAAACAGCAAATATTGTAAAGTCAAATGAACTTCAATAAAACAATTCAGCACTAGGCAATATTTAAATTAGTGAGTTGAAATGACTTGTACTTTTAAGTTGATTTAACTTAAATTTTTAAGGCCGCCACAAAACTTACGTTTTTAAGTTGAAAGGGGTGAACATTTTTTACAGTGTAGAGTAGCGCTGATTGTCATTTCTCCGATCACAAATGTCATAATGGGTTTTCATGTTTTGTCTCGTCGCTTCGGCTGGACACAGCATCAACAGTATGGTAAGGGGCGTAATATTTCAGTCACACGCTTGAGGTATTCGGCCAATCACGACGCACTGGATAGATGGCCAATCACAGCACACCTCGCTTTTCAGACTGATTAGCTTTGTAAAAATTGACGCGTTTCAAAAAGGCGGGGCATAGAGGAGAAACAATGTACAGTGTTTTTTTAACCTTAAACCGCATAAACACATTTCATTACACCAAATACATAAAATAATCTTTTTAGCAACATCATATGACCCCTTTAAGCTGTAATTGTTCTCTAATCAGCACAATGCCGGCCACATATGGGTATTGGGAGATGGCAAATTATTTTCATTTTGATCAAGGATAAAAAATACATACTCCATTTTTGCTCTTACCTAGAGGTTCTGCATAGAGATTCATATCTGACGTTGCATTGATTGATTTTGATTGGCTTGTGTAACTAAATTTGTGATAGCACAAGCAAACTATATACTGTTGTCAATTAATAAAAAGTGTTTCATCAATGTTGCAATAAATAATCTTGAAAGAAATCTAATTTATTATTTAGGAATATTTAAAAAATGGACACACTGCCGTTCAAAAGTTTGGGATCAGTCAAATTTGTTATGTCTTTTTTAAAGAAGTCTATTATGCTCACCAAGAAATAATATTGTGAAATATTACAATTTAAAACAAATATTTTCTATTTTAATATACTTTAAAATACTATTTATTCCCGTGATGCAAAGCTGAATTTTAATGAGCCACTTCTCCAGATTTAAGTGTCACATCAACCTTCAGAAATCATTGTAATATGCTGATTTATTATCAATGTTGGAAACTGTTGTGCTGATTGATTGATTGGAACCTGTGATAGATTCTTTAATGAATAAAAAGTTAAAAACAGCATTTATTCAAAATACAATTATTTTCTAACGAACATTTCTATTCTAACAAATATTACTTTTTTTTTAAAGAAAGACCCTAATTTTTTAACAGTATAGTGTATATTGTTATGACAGATTTCTATATTGAATATGCTGTGCTTTTAAAGTTTTTTTTAAATCAAAGAATCCTGAGAATCTTGAATGATTTCTGAAGGATCATGTGACACTGAAGACTGGGAGTAATATTAAAATATAATATAATAAATAATAAAACATTTAAAATATATTTAACAATATTACTGTTTTTTTCTGTATTTTTGATCAAATAAATGCAGCCTTGGTGAGCATAAGAGCATTAAAAATCTTGATCAGAGAGAGCATATATATGACCTTAGTAACTATATTAACATTATTGTAGTCTAATAATGACAACACCGTGAAATACCAAATGCATGACCTTTTTAAGCAGAAACTAACAGATATCTTGTGTTTATAGCTAGGGTGTGAAGACAGCCTTCTACTCAATTATAATGAAAACATGTAGGCTATAAAGGCAAAATTTGAATTAAAATAATTTACACAGAGCTGTCACTACACTTTATACTGAATGAAATAACGAATAGATAAATAAATAAATAAGTAGACATCTATAAATGTTGGTCAATAACCAGCCAATTGTGTGAATAATAGCGTTTCTCCGCTAGATGGCACAACTGAACTGTGTGTAGATGGCACGCATAAACATCACATCTGACCCCTCTACTGAATAATAACAGGAAAGCAGTGTCAGTTCTGTCTTGATTGCTAGGATTAAAATTTACCGGTAATTTCAATGCATAACGTAAATGATATTATCAGTGTATTTGTTCCCAGTTTCTGTTGTGGCTTATTTATATGAAACATGGTTTAGTATTGTTTTCACGTATTGTCTGTGTCAAACTGCTGTAAGAAGGTTTTGAATTATGGGAGTTATTTTGAATTTTAAATAGCCTAGCAGTAGCTAATATAGCGCACAGCTTCAGTTCTTCTTCTCCTTCTGATGGTAAGGCCAGAGAGAGAGAGAGAGAGAGAGAGAGAGAGAGAGAGAGATTAAAACGACCAATTAAAACATGGATCAAATTATATCACACAATCATTAAACAAATTCTACTGTACAGGAATGAAATTTGGGGACCAGTATTAAAGGGTTACTTCACCCAAAATTGAAAATGATGTCATTAATTACTCACCCTCGTGCTGTTCGAAACCCGTAAGACCTTTGTTCATCTTTGGAACTCAGTTTAAGATATTTTTGATGAAATCTGAGGGCTCTCTAACCCTCCCATAGATGGCAAGGTAACTACCACGTTCAAGGTCCAGGAAAGTACCAAGATGATCGACAAAGTAGTCCGTGTCACACCAGTGATTCAACTGCAAAGTTACGAAGCTATGAGAATACTTTTTTGCGCAAAGAAAACAAAAATAGCGACTTTATTCCACATTTTCGTCTCTACTGGTTCACTTTGGATGCGCGTTCAGGACAGTACCATGACGCGAGCGTGTGACGGCACACGCTCGTGTCATGATATTGTCGTGAACGCGTGTCCACAAGTGACACAGTAGAGATGAAAATGTGGCAAAAAAAAACATTCTAAGGGTAAACAGAGGCACTTCTAGCAATGCCTGCATGGCTGAACTGGGCTTATACCCCTTACACATTGAAATACAAAAAAAGAGCTGTTCAATTTTGGCATCTGACACTGAATCTATTCAATATAAAGCCCTTCTTGCCAATGAAACTCCCACAGTGTCTCATCCTCTAAATACACTCATGCTTAAACTAATGAATGAAACTCAAGCCGAGTCTGACTCCAACCACAACCCCAACATTCATAAAGAAATTGACAAAAATCTAAAGTAAAATTATAAATTACCCCGGCGGGCTTGCGGCAACCACATGTGAGACCCCGGGCTGGACTCCGCTTCGTCCACGGTGAAAGCCGTTCCGGCATTCCACAGCGCGAAGTTGATGTATTTCCTCAGCGACCAGCACGGATCAGCTCCAGGCATGACGAAGCGGATATCGTCCTCTTTTGGAAGGCCAAACAAAGTAGTTTCGCTTTCACAATGAATCACACAGTGCCTTCACGACATGGCGGGGGCAACAACAATACCACACGAGAATAAATGTTACGCCTTCTTTCTTTGCCTGAACATTTGAGCGACGTTATGCAAATCTTCCCACATCGTGACGTAGGTATGTGGGGGCGTGTTAGAATGAGCCGTTTTTTGGTAGGCGTGGCTGACTCAACTTTTATAAAGAATATCTCTTTGGATTTGAGACTTTAGTCTTTGCAACTTTACAGATCTTCTTTATGCACCAAGAGCTTGTAACACATTATGTGCTGTCCTTTACTACATACATTATGTTAAAAATCATACATGAAATTCTAAACAAAATGTTGATGGAAAAATCATTGGTTGTTTAGCTTATTGTCAAAATATTTATTATGATGAAATATCAACAATTACATTCATAGAACTGCAGAATATATATACAATTTTAAGCAGTCAAAAAGGAAATGTCCAACACAGGACAAAACCACAGGATTTTCATCTTATTAGGTAACATGACACATAACCCCACCTTCATAATCAATCATTTCACT